TTCGAGGTCAAAACACAAGAACTTCATTTCTTTATTCTTGGTCAATGCCTGGCGAAGCTTCCTTGTGTGTTCAGCGGCATCTTGGCGAGCCCTTGGAAAAAATGAAGATGAAAGTATAGGTTGATTGTTTTACGAACTGAGATCGTTCTTGGAATATAGGTTTCACGCTGGCGTGGTCAAGGATGGCAAAACGCGTTTCGGCATGTCCAATTTTCGGGATACCTCAAGATTAGTCATCGTTTAACTACAAATCTCATCTTAATAGTTTTCAGTCACTATTTGCTGTTTTAAGACTATTTTTTTCTTATTATTGTATTTAAAACAGAGTTTTCTATTGAAGGAAATAGATTCATCATTAACTTTTGTCTGAAACTAGTTTATTCAGTCTAATTTTAGAGAATGTTTTTAACTCGAGAGCATTCAATATTTCGGGGGAAAGTAAGAATAATGATTGTCATCCCCCCAAAAAAGAGTAAAAGTCTTCAAGACACTTTAAGAACTGATTTAATCGTTATACGAACTGAAATCGTTCTTGGAATCGATTTTTACGCTGCGTGGTCAAGGATGGGAAAACGCGTTTTGACTTGTCCCAATAGCCAAATCTTGTCTTCAAAATTTTAATTTTTTTCTTATTATTGTATTTAAAAGAAGTTTCTTTTGAAAAAAATCTACCTGTCAGAACTAGTTTTGGTCTGATTTTAGCACAGATGACATTTTACACTAGTACATTCAATTGGGGGTTAAAATAAAAAATATTAGTACCTCCAAAAAAGTGTTAAAGTATTTGGTTCAAAAGACTTTTATAAATAATCTAGGTTCATTACTTACTTTGCATTTATTTCATTCCTCTCGTTGATAATTTCTCGGAAATGCGCATCCATTTGATCCTGGTTGGAATAACGACATTCGTGGGATCTTTCACATTAGTTGGACGGTCAATCTCGGGAAGTTTAATGCCTGTCTTTTCTTCCAATTCTCTCTTCATCATCCTATATTGCTTGGTTGTCACTGTAGGATGTCTTGTCCCGTCATGAATTCGTACTATTGTCATTTCAAATCCAGGATGATTCCTCGCGAAGTTGCGAAAATAGTCCTTAGCTCTGCCGTGCCTTGCTCTGTGGTTATACCACAGATTTCCAGGCCAGACTTTCTCGAGAACTTCGTATTTATAGTAAAGGTCTTCTTCTTCAAAGTACGAGGCCATGTCACAAGAAAATTGATCAAGTAATAAGGTAGATTCAATTTTAAAGAATTTCAAAACAACTGCTTTAATTTCCAAGAAATCTGTAGCTAGAACCTTCCTTTCAATTGTTCAGTGAAATAAAAACAACACTGGTAGTTTCAGGGTCAACAAGCAACCGTGAACCATCTGCGCATGCGCCCTTAGCTTTTATTTCCTTCATGCGCCTGGGGGGTTTGGGGCTTATTTTGGTATCAAGGTATAACATTACAACATTAGGTACCGGGTGAACCGTTTTTATTACTCGTCAGCGCTTCATCTACTTCATCTCAGTTCTTTACACGTCTCAGATCTACCTTAAAATATTTCAAACCCGTGGGAATTTTCCACGGTGTTCTACAAAAGTTACGTTAATACTGAGTAAATAAAAGATATCGATAAAGATTTTTTGACAATTATTCGCCGAAAGCGAAGTGAATATCGGGGAATATTTACCGAGACGCGAGTCTTCGAGTCTTAGTATAAATACACAGGTGATTCTTTTTTAAAAAAAAGGAAAGAAAAAAACTCTAATAGTTGCGACTTTAATTTTTGGGTTCGTAACAGTGGTGACACGTGATATCTGACGCAAGATGACGTCATTAGGAGGTCATTATATTTTCTACAAACAAAGCTATTTTCAACCAATTTTTGTCGTCCGAAAAATGTCATAACTCTATATTTTAGTAGCTAGTAGACTTAAAGCAAAGAGAAGAGATGCCGATATATGAGTACTATGAATAATGAGTTGATGCGGATGACGTCATCAATTCAAGTGACATCATCAAGTATTTGGAAATACTTTAATACATTTAGTCTTTTTTTCTTTCCTTTTATGAAGCTATAATCACCCTCTATTTTAATAGTGGTTATCTATTTAAACCAACCTCTAGGTATTTCACAACGGTCTCTACTGTAATTACGTTTTTCAAACTTTAACAAAAGATTATTTATTACATTTTTTAAGGAAATTAAAAAAAAAAGTAGAGTCCAGGGCTAATTTTTGTGCTACAATTATCAAAAAACAAGCTAAAACCATGTATGACGTCACAGTCGCGTGACTTAGAATTCGGTCTCAGTCACTGGTATTGTGCTATAATCATCAAAACAAGTTGATAATACATGAGTTATGACGTCATTTAGAAGCGAGTGGAAGGCATGGCTCGCTTGACGAGTGCTTTGAAAGCCATCATAGTGTAGTGAGCATCGTTGCCTGCATTGTGGAGAATGCTCTCATCGTGCAAGATGTGCGTCTCTTCTAGAATCCTCTTCAAACTCCAGGTTGTCGGTTTTTTCGGCCCCGTTGGAAGAAGATTCAAACCCAATACCTGAGTATCAAACAAGGGTTTGTTTTCGATCACAATGCCATTTTCAGCTAAATACCTCTCGTCGTTATGCCCAGAGTGGGTTACAAGTGCATCTGAGCCCGCGATTGCTCTCTTCAGCTCTTCACCGGCATCTTTCAAGGGCATGCGCACTGTCGTGCCAAACTTGAATTTCTCTTTGTTATCAAAGCCTTTTCTGTTGCGGATTTTGTCATTGACGACAGCGTGAAAATACTCGGGCCGGTCGCCTTCCTTCAAGGTGAACTCTACGTATCCAATCTCTAACATTGTATTCCAATCTCTGTCGTAGACTTCGAGGTCAAAACACAAGAACTTCATTTCTTTATTC